ACTTCCCTCTAGACAGCTGGGTGTGGGTTGTGGGATGTGGATTCAATTCACAATTTAACTCTGCTCCTATACAGCAGCTCTCCACTAAGAGGCAAGTCCCAGGCATTGTGGAATGTTCTCTGGCTGGAAGATCCAGGTAGTTGATAAAGTAATATCTCTCCTATCTGCTCCCTCTGTCCCCACCCCTTCATTACTCTTTGCACTACAAGATGTCCTTTATCCTGGCTGAGCTACTTCCTCAATGTGGCAAATGTTAGTATGCTCAAATCCTTTGGATAAAGAGTTGATTCCCCTCCTTTTACACAGATGTGTCTTTACCCAGTTTGACAAGGTGGAGAAAGGCAAGGCATAAAAGTCACACGTATCAAATCTGTTGATGACCCAAAGCTGGAGGAGGGTGATGGATAGCCAATTCATTGTTTGACAGTCAAATAGAAAAAAAGACTCTTAGCAGACTATAATAGTGGACCAAATCATATTGCGTGAAATGAATTAGGAGTAAACTTACACTTTTTTTGGATCTACTTAGCAAGCACAGAAGAGTAGAGACATGACTTAAAGAGTCGTTGAGGGCTAGGGGTAAGAAGGGAGAAGGTCTAGGGATTTTAACAGGCTATAAGATCAATACGAGTGAAGAGTGTGATAAGTCAGCCAAAAACAATAAATAATGATATATGGCTTGGTTAAGCATAGCGTCCACCCATTATACGTGCTTCCAGTCAGACTATATGTCTCATATTGTGTTCAGTTTGGGGACATACATTTTAGGAAGAATATAGATGAACTCAAATGTATTCAGAAGAAGGTGAGAAGATTGAGCTCATGAGCTTTGATTGAAATAAGTGGGGATTTTTTCACCAAAGAAAAAGAAGACTAGGAGTGGGAACAAGTGTGGGATGTGATAATGGTCTTTAACTATTAGAAGAACTCTTTACACATGAGTCATTAGATTTGGTCCATGTTGGCCCTACATAGCAGAGCTATGAACAATATATATTGGGGTAGAGACACAAGCTTAGGCTTGATAGAATGAAAAAGTTTCCTACAATTAGAAAAGCCCAAGAGTGAAATAGATTGGAGAGGTGGCAGTTTCCATTTACTGAATGTCTTCAAGCAGAGTGTGGAGGACCCCTTGTTTCCAGTGTGATAGAGACAATTGTCTCTTATCTCTCACCTTTTGCAAGAAGTCTTTCCTGATCCCCTTAATGTCAGTGCCTTCCTTCTGTTGATTATTTCCAATTTGTCCTTTATATATCTTCTTGATACAGATTTGTTTACATGTTGTCCCCCTATTAGGCTGTGAGCTCCACGAAAGGAGGGATGGTTTCTGTCTTTGTATGTCTAATGCTTAGCAAAATATCTGGCATGTAGTAGGCACTTAAGAAATGTTTGTTGTTTACTTGACAAGTTATAGCTTGGACTACGTGAGAAATAGCTAGTTTTCATTTCCACAAAAATCACCTGAAAAATGCAATCTAAGGGCTCAGTGAAAGGTGAACAAAGGAAGCCATAAATGATATTAAGAAAATACTATTGGTGGGAGAGTATACTAACCTGCTGAAAACCTGTTCTGAGGTTAGGTACAGATTAACATCAAAAGGGGTATTCCCAAATAAGAGCAAAAGTAGATGAGGGCCTGGGTACCCAAACTGTGGGGAGCAGGAGATGTAATTAGGGGCAGAGACTCATGTGGGGAAATTAGGTGCTTTGGATAGGCTGTAATCTCTATAGTACCCAGCCAATGGGGAAGCAGGGGAGGGAAATTTGAATCAGGAATAGGGAATAAAAAAAGTGTGTATCTGTTTAATACACCTGTGTCCACATGTGGAATATCTAGTCTGGCCAGGTCTGGCCAGGTCGTTAATCATACTTCTTCTTGGTTCAAACAATAGCTTCATGGAGTTTGTGGTAAGACCTTTTGCTGCTTACAACTAGATTTCCTCTGAAGTCTCTTCCATATCTCAGAGTCTGTAATTCCATATAACATTTACATAAAGGTAAACACAGAAAGACAGTTATAAAAAGTAAGAAGATAATAATAGCCTCTGTAGTTCATTGTAGGCAGACTTTACCTGTCATAGCGTGTTCGGCTCTGGCCACCACTGTATAAGAAGGACATTGATAAGCTTGGAGAAATGAGAAGAGGGCAACCAGTATGGTGTATAACCTTGAACCTGTGTTATATGAGAATCATTCAAATAAAATGGATATGTTGGTCCTACAGAAGAAAAGACTCATGGGAGACACGGTAGCCATCTTCAAGTACTTAGAAAACTATTGTATGGAATAGGGATTGGCCTTAGTTTGTTTGGTCCCAGAGGTTCGAAACAGGGGCAATGGGCTGTTACAGAAGCAAATTTAGACTTGATGTCAGAAAAAAAATTCCTAAAAATTAGAGTTGTCCAGAAGTGGCATGGACAACCTTGTTGGATAAAGACTTTCAAAAAGAAACTGGATAGCCACTTGTCTGATACACTATAGTGTGGGTTCCTTTTGTGTACTGGTTGTAATAGATAGCCCCAGAGGTCCCTTCCAACTCTGAATGCTTAGTGATTCTAAGATCAGGGTTATTAATAAAACATGGAATGGCTTCTATTAAGATGAGTACATAATAGTGATAAACTCAGCACAACAGTTGACTTGTACACAAGTTTCTGATTCCTTTTTTTTTTTAAATACTATTCCTACTCTTTGGTCATCCAGAATTTTTAGATTTTTCTTTCTAGGGTAACTTAAATAGAAATATTCTGGTGAAATATTGATATTCTTTGTTTCTAAGTCATTGGGAGAGGAGGAGGAAGTGTTTGTTATTTCCACCATTGTTATTTTGACTCAATGAAGTACCCATGAGAGAAATATTTAATTATTATGGTTGTCGTAGACAATCTAATAAAAGAATAATAATTGAGATTTTAATCTGATCATCAAAACAGCAATTGTGCCAAGATAGCTTTTTCAACTTAGAGACCATTGATGAAGCTTTCTCCTTAAGGAATTGCACCAGCTGTTTCAATTTTCTCTTTCTAAGCTAATCCTTTTCAGTGATATCCCAAGTATGTCTTATACTTGGAACATTTTCTTCAAATTATTTCAGAGGGAACTAGAAATGGTCAAGAGATCAAGACAGAAAGCCGCAGACAGGATGAACACTACAGACTGTACTAATTTCTCTGGATTATCAGTCATTTATTATAGGGGGAAATTACAAAAGGAGACTAGACAATGAAAGTTAGATTCAGTTTGAGAAGCCAAGAACCACTCTTATATAACAAGGAAATGGGCAGTAGTCATTAAGTGACAAAAGAAAAGTTGAGTAATTTGGCAAATGTACTACTTTTTTAAGCTTCATGAGAGATGGTTTCAATAGCCTAAGAAATTTTATCTTATCCTCAACATCTGAAAAAGTAAGGAACAATCTGAAATACTAACTTACTTCAAGCAATATTTATTAAACTAATAGAATTTCATGTTTATTCAGTTTTTTTAATCTTGTAAAAGTCCTTCAGAAAAGGTCCAGTAGCTCCTGGGAAGCTGTTTTGTTTATGAAATCAAAAAAAGTAATTTATAAATTGGCATCTTTTCCTTACCTGTTTATATTTACTTTGCATTTTTTTTTGCATTTATCCAAAAAACTTGACAATGAATATATTGGATATGGGTTTTAAATTTGGTGGCTGTACTTCTTTTTCTTACCCCATATCAATCTCCCAAAACAAAAGAAAAAAGAACTGTCAGCTGGGTGTCTGGAGATGTGGGTTCTTGTGCTTATTCTGCCAGCAGGACCAGGACACAGGCAAGTCCCTTCCCTGATCTCTACCTTGGTTTCCTCACCAGTAAAATGAGAAAGTTTGGTGTGGATGGTCCCATTAAGGTGTTTTAAAGCTCTCAAATTCTATGATTCTAAATCAGGGATTCTTAACCTTTATATGTCATAGATCCCTTGGCAGTCTGGTGAAGTCTATGTACCCTTTCTCAGAAAAATGTTTTTAGATACAGAAAACACACAGTATTATAAAGGAAACCAATTATATTGAAATGCAATTCTAAAACATATAAATATATACACACACATATGTGTACACACATATATACATACATGTATACATAAATATTATATATATATGTACATACTATATATACATACATACTATATATATACATGTATATACATATATCCCTATCCATATATCCATATATCCACATGTGTGTGTGTGTGTGTGTGTGTATAAATTTCATTGACCTCCAGTAAAGAACCCCAAACCTAGGGTAAATCAATGTTTATTAAAACAGTTGATAGTTGAGAGAAAACTTTTTCCAAATCTGTCTCCTGGGGGATATCAGATATCCTTAATGAAGTCCCAGCAAAAAAAAATCACAACTTCCAGCTATTTTCATGGGGATAGCCAAATTCTTCCCTATCTCATACCTTCCACCATGTTTTTCTTCCCACTCATTAAAACCACTGTGTATCTCCTTCACAAAGTATTTCTCCCATACCTCATCATGGTGTGAAGGTGATGCTGGGTTTTTGAAGTCTGTATCAATAGAGTGCATGCTCTCACAAGTTCAACCATGCTCAAAAGATAGTAGGGTGGGGGGAAGGGAAGAAGCACTTATTATGTGCAGGCACCATGGTAAGAGTTTTACAAATATTATTTTATCTGAGATTGAGCCTAGGCCACAGATTGAATCCATGAAGAGGCTCCACCCCCATAAGGTTGGTCTCTTGGTAATGAATTCTCTGATTATGAATTCATCCATGAAAAAAAGGAAAAATATAAAGTAACTTTCAGCCAAGTGAGTCTGTTTTCTACTTCTGCAGTGAATGAAGGGTAGAATGGCAGAAAAGGAGGAAAGGGGCATTAAGGATCATATAATTTTTATACTATCTATATGTTTTAAATTAACTATTGATACTATAAATGTAAAATCTGAGGATCAAAGATTTTGAGCTAGAAGGGACCTTAGAAGCCATCTAATCAAATCCCTCCATTTTACAGATGAGAAAACTGAGGTCCAGACAAGCTAATTGACTTCCCAAAGTTTGACAGAGAGTGACAGAGGTGAGTATCTTTCTTCAAGTTTGATTACTCCAAGTCCATTCTTCTTTCCCCTCTACCACTCTGCCTCTTATCCTTTGTTCAATGACCATGGAACAAACAAAATTACCAGAAGGAATGAAACACAATGTTCTTGACATTCTTGAATCCAGAAGAAAGAAGGAAATTGAAGCTGAATGGAAGACTGACTCACAAATTAACCTTAGGCAAGTGTGAGTTGGAAGTGTGCATTTTTATCATACTTCTGAAGGTAATAAGTAATGTCATGCTACATTTGGCAATTGTTTATTGTAATGATCATCATAAGTATCTGTTAAAACACCACTGTGAAAATAATTTCAACAAAAACACAATAAAAAACCATCCAGAAAAATCAGCATGTACTTTAGCATTTGGTGGTTGGAGTAAAAAAGTAACATATTAAATGCTTACTTTGCACCAAGCATTATGCAAAGGACTGGAAATACAAATGCTAAAAAGTTAAGATACTCCCTGGTCTCGAGGACTCTCAAGGGACTATTGGGAAAATGACTGGCAAAGGGGAGTGGTGGCTAGCATGGGTCACTTTGGTTCAGAAAGTTACAAGGACGGCACTTGGGCCATAAGAGCACAGACTGATGTGCTCCATCCAAAATCAGTGACAGAGTTGATGTGCTTGTGGTTTATTGTCCCAGAACTGAGGGGTAGGAGAAATGAAAGAATACCCCTTTCCCTATACACACATACCTGGGACAAGAGTGCTGGGATGAGGATGGGGAGGGAAGTTAAGGATCATTGTAGCTTTTCTTGAAAGATTAATCTTGAAGTCATGACCAATCACAAAAGCAAGCCTCAAGGTGGACTTTTCTCAAGGACAGAAAGGCAGCTAGGGAGAAGAGGCAGATGGCCAGGGAGTAGGAATTAAATTATGTCTTTAGTGCAAAGATGAGAATAGGTGAAGATGACAAAAAATATGCTGGAAAATATGAATAAGGAACAATAAATTAAAGAGAGCAAAGACATGTAGACAACACATAAGATTCATGCCTATTTATTATGAATGATTCTTTAAAGAAAAGAATGGAAGACTGACCAATTCTGGCTAACCTAACAAAAATTAAAATTGAATATATTTTAACAAAGAGGCAATTACACATCATTAATATGGAAGTCATTCCTGAATTAGTTGTCTGTGTACAGTAAAACCTGGACTTAATTAAAATTGATGCAAAACCAGAAAAAAGACTAAAAATGAGAAAATGATGTAGTATGTCATTAAAACAACTTTGTCCTAAAGTAGCTTATCAATGATGAAAAATGGGATGTGGACAAAAGATAGGACATAGCACCTAAAAGAGTTTCTTACAAAAGTTTAACTGATAGTTATCAATTGTTATAACAACAAAAGCAAAAGAATATAAAATACCTTAGACTGCTGAGCAAAGAGATATGACAGTCCAGGTCAACACTGGTTTAGAATATAAACCCAGTTTGTGTTTTTGTTGAAATTATTTTCACAGTGGTGTTTTAACAAATACTTATGATGATCATTACAACAAGTCTTGCAGAGGATGATGATAAAAAAGTTGTAAATAGTAGGGTCCCATAAAATAGAGAGCAGCAATGGAGAATAAAACTAATTTAAAGAAAGCTAGATGAGAGAACCAACTAAGCAAAGTCATCCTGGGGAAATTTAAGAATGAAAATGGAAGGACAACAAACTGAAGAAAAATCAAAGAGATCCATTGAAGACAGTGGAACCAGTAAACTTGGACCCTAGGTTTACTGACTGTGCTTATTCTGAATGTGCTTTTAGAGGAGGTAAAAATGGAAGGAAACAAACCAAAACATAAAAAGGGAGATAAATAAAAAACCAAAGCTTTATTATAATGGGTCTACAAAGAGGAGTTCCATGCTGGAGACAACACAATTGGGAAGGCGTTGAAGACCAATTCATAAGGTATCTGAAGGAGGGGAGAATTAAAAAAAGGCATGGAAAAAAATTCAGACTTTACTAATACAGAAAAGAGATGATTGAGAAACCATCAATGACTATTGACCTGTATTCATACTTCCCCATCCATGTAAAAATTGTGTAAGAATAATTTACACATGCATTAAGAGCAACATTGAGGATATATGAGGAAATAGGTAGGCTTTCCCATTGAATCTTTCACAAGTATGGAAAGTATTATGACAGCTAGAGATTTCACATCTGTAAAACACTAGTGCTACTATTTTGCTGATAGCACACTAAGATAACTCTTTTTCTCCCTTTTTTCTTCTTTTAATCAGTGTTAGAATGTTTATCTTATTTGTAGCATGAGTCCAAAAAGCTTGTCTAAGACAAGTCCATAGCCTAAATTTTGCATTCTGGCCTAGAAACTTCAGGTAAACTTAACCTGCTTGATCCTTTTTCAGGGACCCTCACACCTCTATAAGAACTTTTCTGAGTTTGTTTTACCTTATAGTTAACCTGCTTATCCTAGTGAGGGGTGGGTTAAAAATTATATTTGAAATGTTTTTACAGTAACAGGGATTCACTGGGGGAAATCTTGGGTATTCTTTAGTATAGGGACCCAGAGGAAGTTTTTCTGAACACACAAGGAATTCACTTATGGTATTAGGACCCCTGGAGAAATTTTTGAGTGACCTAAATATTTTCTCTGGACCCCAGTTGGATAGCATTATGCATTTAGAGAATAAAGGAGTAGTTTGCCTAGGAGAATTAGGTTTTCACCTAAGGTGGAGGGGCATCTTCAGGTTTTTAAGACCCCAGGGTTTAACTCTATGCAGAGAAAACCCCACAAGTTCTGAGACACTCTGAAAGGTCCAAGTTTTTACTTCTGAAGAGGAAGGTTTGATTTTCTCATCTAATTTTGTTCAAGATCAAACCCAATCAGTAGATGGGTATAGTGTAGAAGAGCCCTTACTGGTTAAAGGAGAGCATCCCAGTGTTCCCTTGACATAGTGCCAGATTTATGTAGCACCTAACTGAGTCCAGAGTATAAGGGTCCTTCATTGGGGAGAAGGCAAGTGCTTCTATATAATTCTGTGGCTAAACACAAATTATTTATGATGACAAAAATGAAAATCATCAGTGCTGGAGGGACCAGATGACAATAATAATATTAATGTATTTATGGTAGAGCTGAGACAAGCAGATTAGTGTTGCTACACAAGTACTAAGCCAAATGGGTTTGGATTCTCACCCAAAAGATTGATTCCATCCAACCCCATATCCCTAATACTTTTGGGAAGAGCCCAGTGCTCTAAGAGCTCAGGAAGAATGAGACTTTTCCTTCTGAAAAGGGGCATTTAATTTTCTTTTCCTTTCTTCTTCTTCTTCATTTTTTTTTACTGTTTTGGGGCTGGGAAAGATCTTTTGCGAAAGCCAAGACAGGTAACAACTTAGGAGAACTTTACAAAAATGATATCTGTTCCTTAAATTATATCACCATGAATTTGGAAATATGAATGAATGCTGATTTCTGGATTTGTTTGTGAAATCTACCAAATGGACTCTTCCTGAGAGTAAGACTCTGTGGAAGGCATTCAAAAACAATAACACTGAACCTATCCCAAGGCGATGGATAGTCAGTAAACTCACAGCTCCTGATTATGGTAAGTATCTTTCCCCCTCTATGGAGTCCTCATGAAATCCCTTAGGCATGTTGCTCCTTTTAGCACCCCAAAAGGTGGCAGGGCCCTTATAGAGTCTTGAGGATTCACTTCTTCCCATCTGTCTGGTTGGCCCTGTCTCAACTCCCATCTAAATGCAATGGTTGTTACTGGGGCAGGGGCAAGGGATCTGCATGCTCAAAGTACTCATGAAGCTGGATTCCTGAGGCAGTTGATGAAAAAAAGAAAGGTTTTATTAAGTACTTATTATATTCTGGGCACTGGGCTAAATATTAGAGATAAAAATTAAAAATAAAGGCAGTCCTTGCCCTCAAGGAACTTACACTCTAACTGGAAATAACATCTATAAAAAAGTACAGCTATAAGCTAAGAATCTTTAGGGTCCATTGGCAAGTCAGATGGCAGTGCCCTGGCATCCAAAGTTCCTCTGAGCCTTCTCATCATGTGGCAGAACATGTGGTAAGGGTTGGTGGTGCTCCATCTCATCAAAAGTATTATAATTTGTTATTCCTAGTTTCACCTAGTGGTGGAAGAAGTCATAATGCTTTTGCCATCTAATCGGGTAAAGGGGGAATGGAAATGAAATGGAAAGTGTCCCATGAGTAGACTTGGCCAAGTTGTAATTTCTCTAAACTTAAATTTCATTTTCTCTGTAATGATAGAGGATAATACAAATTGTCAATGTTGATAAAAGATGGAAATTGTAAATGTTGGAGAGGCTTGGTAAAGATAAGAATGCTAATATCATCTTGGTGATGCTTTAAATTGAACCAACCACTCTGGAAAGTAACGAAAATGTCCGTTCATACTCTTTGATCCAGAAACCTGAAATGCTAGGGATCTATCCCAAGGAAGTTAAAGATAGAAAGAAGATCTCATATGCTTTTAAATATTCACACCAGCACTTTTTATGATAGTCAAGAACTGGAAACAAAGTAAATGCCCATCAACTGGTAAATGGCCAAACAAATTGTGGCACATGAATGTAATGCAATGTTACTACTGCACTATAAGAAAAGATGAAGGATTTGGTGACTCATAAGAATATATCTATATCTATGCACTGACATAGATATATACATACTGAAACAAAGTGAAGTGAGTAGAATCAGGAAAACAATATATACAATGATTACAGCAATGTAAATGGAAAGATACAGAGAGAAAAAAAAAGACCACTGGGTAATTAAAGTGACCAAGCTTCGTGAAGAAGAAATGAGAAATGTCGTTCTTTCCACTCTCTGTAGAAGTGGAAGACTATGGATGTGAAATATTACCTAAACCTGCAAGTGTTAATAACAATTACTAATATTTAATTTTAATTGTTGTATGGCCTTTGTATACTTAGCATTTTGTAAAATGACTACAGTACATAATATAAACCTAATAATCGTTTGATAAATTCATTTGGATTGAATGGCTTCCATCAACTGGTAAATATTTATAGGGTATTTACATAAAAAAGAAGAAATTCACTTAAAAGCCTGTACTTCTTTATCCCTGATTTCTTTTCTATTATTGCACTTAAGATTAGCAGAAGCATTACCTTTGTTGCTTCTGTTTCATTACTGTTGGTTTTAACTCATGAATTGTGTGTGTATGTGTGTGTTACTTTTAGGTCAAGATCTATTGCTTCTGAAGTATGGAAACTCTGTTTGAAATCTTCCTCCTCTCCTTCAGGTCAGTCATTTATATCTAACTTGTTGTTTCAGAGAGTTGTTTGGGCCATTCAGAGACCACATGATTTACTCATGGTCACACCATCAGCAGGTCACAGGTAAAACTTTAACCCAGCTCTTCTTTACTTTAAGGTCATTACACCAAGGTCCTACTCTTTGATTTATGGATGTTGTAATAAACATTTATACTAAAAATTGATTTCTTAGAAAAATAGAGTAGATAGGGCAAACTTCAACCTTTAAAAATATTATTTTATGAGTTTTATAAGCAGTGACTGAAAAATGTAAATCATCATAATCCTAACTGTGATTTTACTTGTGATGTTCATATGCAAAATAATTTCAAGGGAGGTGTACACATAAGAAAAATAAGGAGAATCTATGTAAGAAAGAAGATTTGGAACTCAATAATGGAAAAGTAGAATCTACTATTATTTTTAAAGCAGCAGTAATATTGGGGTAAAAATATGAAATCTACAATGATAGTTGCAAGTTAATCATATTTTAAAATATCATTTGGGGTCATTTAAATCTTTTCCCAATCTGGTCAATTTCTACTTTTCCAGTCTTCTTATACATTCCTCCCCTTCACACACTCAACAGTTTTGCCATATTGGTCTATTTGCTGTTTTACACTGATTGTACTCTATCTTTCCTCTCCCTGTCTTGGCAATGGCTGCCCCTTATGCTACCCCTTATGAATCTTTAATTTCCTTCAAGATATAACTCAGGAACCAGGTTTTTTTTTTACATGAAGTCTTTCTTGATCCCTCTAGCTGAGAGTGTCTCTGTCCTAATGACACTGTATTCATTTTGTAGATATCTTCTGTACATCCTTATAGATGTCCATAGCATCTCCCCCATTAGAATATAAGTTGCTTGAGGAGAGAGGCTATTTCACTTTTACCTTTGTATTCCTGGTGCTTACACTTACCTATTAGATGCTTAATAAATACTTCTTAACTGTTTGGACCAAAAGAGTTGTATAAAGGAAAGACTATTACCATTCACCAAAACACTCTCCAACCTAGAAATTTAGTTCTGACATATAGCATTTTCCCAGGAAATGGATTTTACTTGTTTGTTTTGTACCAATACCAAAATATGCTTCTGATTCTTTAAAGAGACATTTCTAGAAGATGCAAAAGTAATTTGCTTACATATGGTAGGTACAATATCTGCCAAAGGCCCCACACATAAGCTAGGCTGTTTTTTTTCCCAATAAAAGCAGTGAAAACATCCCTGAGACTTGATTGGTACAGAGAGTTAAGGCTCCAACTATGGATGCGGCTTCTTAGTCACCTAGTAAGGTGTAAAAAACCCAGGATTTGAGAAGTTGGCTATTAATCAAAATTGATGCTGATGTGATAGACAATACTCTGCTCTGACTACTGACCTCTCTGGCTTCTTTTTTTTTTTAATTTTTTAAGGCAACTGGGGCTAAGTGACTTGCCCAGGGTCACACAGCTAGTAAGTGTCAAGTGTTTGGTCTGAGGCCAGATTTGAACTTAGGTCCTCCTGACTTCAGGGCTGGTGTTCTATCCACTGCACCACCTAGCTGCCCCTTCTCTGGCTTCTTTTAAGTCCCAATTAAAAACCCACCTTCTACAGGAAGCCTTCCCCAATCCCTCTTAATTGTAGTGACTTCCCTTTATTAATTATTTCCTATTTGTCCTTTATGTAGCTTGTTTTGTATATATTTGTTTGCATGTTATGGCCCCCATTAGATTTTAAACTTCTTGAGGGCAGGGACTATCTTTTTAACTCTTTTTATATCCCCAGCACTTAGCACAGTGCCCAGCACACAGTAGTCACTTAATAAATGTTTACTGATTGGCTGATATGTGATCAACACACATAGACAGATGTTGGGAGCTATATCTAACAGAAACAACACTATAACTGCTGAATATCCTTCCCATGCAGTGTTTAGTGAATAACATTTTGTAAAATATTCTGTTTTTTCTTGTTGTCCAAATCCCAAGCCTGAACCACGAGAAAGGCCTGAGTCAGGATTGGCAAAGCACAGTGCAATTAAATGCATATTCACCAGTAATATAGGGAAGAATATATTCAGCATTATAATCCATCCACCAAAAGGCAATATTGTATATAGTGGGAAGACTGCTGGATCTGGACTAAGATGGCCTTCACTTGAATTCTGGCCCTGAGGCTTATGGGAACTTAGGCAAGTCATTTAAACTCTCTGGGCTCCAGTATGTATCTTAACTGAGGAGGCTGGATAAGATAGTCTCCAAGGTACTAGCCTTCTCTGAATCTACAATCCTACCTCTTATGATTTGCTTTGAACCTGTGATATAATTGTTGCGGGTAGTTCCCTTACCAATGTGGAAGATCTTTGCTAAAATATAGATCTATAACAACAACAATAACAACAACAGTCATTCATTAAATGTTTTCTATGTGCCAGGCACTGTGCTAAATATTGGGAATACAAAGAAAGGAAAAAATAAAACAGGGTTCATCCCTTTCAAGGGGTGTTTATATGGGGGAGAAAATTATGCAAATAATTATGTACATAGACTTCTGGGAGCATAGCCAACATGGCAGAATAGAGAAAGCGCTCAGCTGAGCTTTGCTAACATTCCTTTCCAAACAACTATGCCTTAAGTCAAATTCTGGAGTGGCAGAGCCAACAAAAGACCAGAGTGAGACATTCTTCCAACCCAAAGACCAGAGTGAGACATTCAACATAGGGGGTCAGAAAAAGAGATCAGTAAACATTGGGGAGGAGACTGGCCCAAACCCTACAGGGATGAAGCACAAATGGTGGGACTAGGTGGTAGTGACAGAAGCAGCCGCAATTTGGGGAGCTCTCAAGACAGAGACAGGAAGAGGACCTGGCAACTGGTCAGAAAGAGAGTATGGGGTACACCTAGGCTAGTATTGAACACAAGATCAGATACTGTTGGGCAACTCCATTGCCTATAACCACTCCTGGGTCATAGTTCAAGGGAGAGAGGGGGATTTTTGGTCAAAAGGGAGTGGAAACCTTGAGAGGAAGCAACAGTTCCAGCCCTAAGAGAGGAGGGGCGCTGAGGAGCAGTATTGATTGCAATTCCAAGAGATCAAGGGTTAAGGACCTTCATGGTTAAGGACCAGAGTACTCACCAATCAAGTAGTGACCACACCTCTCCCCAGATCACACTACCTTGGAAGCATTAAAAACTTCCAAACACCCAGAACTAGCTCTGAAAGCAGCTGTGTGAAAAAAACCTAGGAGCAGCTAGGTGGCACAGTGGATAGAACACCGGCCCTGGACTCAGGAGGACCTGAGTTCAAATCTGGCCTCAGACACTTGACACTTAGTAGCTGTGTGACCCTTGGCAAGACACTTAACCCTGATTGCCTCACCAAAAAGCAAATGAAAAAAAAAAAAGAAAAAACCTGAAGCTTGAGACAGAGTTCCTACCTCCCCTTCTCCCTCTGGAACAGATCCCAACATTAATGTAAATTTCCAAATCAAGAAACAGAGTGGAAAATGAGCAAACAACAATAACAGCAAAAAGTTGACCATAATATGGTGACAGAAAATAGCAAGACAAAAACTAAGGAAAAAAAAAATGAAGTCAAAACAGCGACAAACAAAGCCTCAAAGAAAAATATGAATTGGACACAACCTCAATGAGGATTCCTGGGAGAGCTTAAACAATAATTTCCAAAATTAAATAAAAATGATAGAGAAAAAAATTGGGTAAAGAAATGAAAGCAAGGAAGAAAATTATAAACAGACAATCAATAGCTTGGTAAGAAGCACAAAAATTACCGAAGAAAATAACACATTAAAAAACAGAACTGGTCCAGAAGCCAAGATGGTGGAGTAAAAAGGTAGTCACTCTCACCCTCCCCTATCATCCTCTGAAAACCCAGAAAATATCATCCCATAAAAAAACCCTGGAACAGCTGAACCAGAAGAAAGATGGGGTGCAGCAGTGCAGTAGTCCAGGTAGCTAGAGGAATTAATGAGAAAGGTCCCTCTTACCCTGGGGGAAGGGAAGCAGTACAGAACAGGAGTCTCCCAGCCAGCTAGTGGAAAGACCCACTTTAGCACACCAGGAGGAGATTCTAGTGCCTTGGCATTCTACAGCAAACGGGTCTCCCAGTACCTCAGCAAAAATAAGGAAAGCAGCACTACAAAGGGCCCCAGGTGGATAAGCACCCTACAGCATTCATCTGAAAGGAGCTGAAGAAAGCAATCTAGAGTTGCCAGAAAGTTCTAGCCTTGCTGATTCCAACCCAATACCAAGTAAGCTGTCAGAACCCTACAGCTTCCAGCTGCCAACCAGGAGGAGATTTTGAAGCCCAGGAGGTCGAGCAGGCAAACACCAACAGCTGGTCCTCCGAGTGCCTCAGTGAGGGCAGGGGAACCAGTGGAAACCAGCTCAGAAAACCACCAGGTGCCTCAGCATTCTACAGCAAAGGAATCTCCCAGTGCCTCAGCAGAACTAAGGGAGGCAGCACTGCAAGGGGCCACAGGCAGATCAACACCCTGCAGCACCCATCTAAAAAGAGCTGAAGAAAGCTAAAGGAAAGGAAAAGCAGGCAACCTAGATTTACCTGAAAGTCCCAGCCTTGCTGATTCCAGCCCAACACCAGGTAAGCTGCCAGAACCCTACAGCCTCCAACTGCCAACATAAGAGGCCCCAGCACACAAAGCCAGTGACCAAGACCTAGGCTCCCAACACAAGAAGCTTAGGTCAGTGCCCTCTGCTCCCCAGCAGGAGAGCTTAATCTCTTTAAAGGCCAGGGAAGAAAGAAACACCATGAGTAAAAAGAAACATACGATTGATTCATATTATGAGAAGAGTGAAGATCAAGACAGAAATTCTGAGGAGGACAGCATTGTCAACAAACCCACATCTGCAACATTAAAAGGGAATATGAACTGGTCTTAAGCTCAAAAAGCCTTCTTAGAAGAGCTCAAGAAGGATTTTAAAAGTCAAATGAGAGAGGTAGAGGAGTCCTTAAAAAATACAGT